GGTACTTGGACCCTTAGGGTCAGGACTAGGATAGAAGGTCTGCCAGCCCATCGTCATCCTTCTTGGCAACAGCCTCGCTGCTGCTTCCATTGGCTTTGTCTGCAGGCGTCTCGAAGTCGGCAAAAGGATCTTCTTCGGATTTCTTGGCGTCGTCCTTCTGTGTTTCTGCTTCTGCTTCCTTGAGCATCTTCTCTGCAGCCTCCTTCTGGGCCTTCTCCTCCGCCTCCCTCTGGGCTTTCTCCTCCGCCTCCCTCTTGGCTTTCTCCTCTGCCTCCTTGCGGGCCTTCTCCTCCGCCTCCTTCTGGGCCTTCTCCTCCGCCTCCTTTTGGGCCTTCTCCTCCGCCTCCTTCTGAGCTTTCTCCTCCGCCTCCTTCTGGGCTTTCTCCTCCGCCTCCTTGCGGGCCTTCTCCTCCGCCTCCTTCTGGGCCTTCTCCTCCGCCTCCTTCTGGGCCTTCTCCTCCGCCTCCTTGCGGGCCTTCTCCTCCGCCTCCTTTTGGGCTTTCTGCTCCGCCTCCTTTTGGGCTTTCTCCTCGGCCTTCTCCTCCGCCTCTTTCTGGGCCTTCTCCTCCGCCTCCTTGCGGGCCTTCTCTTCCGCCTCCTTCTGGGCCTTCTCCTCCGCCTCCTTCTGGGCCTTCTCCTCCGCCTCCTTGCGGGCCTTTTCCTCGGCTTGCTTCTGCGCAACTGCCTCTGCTTCCATTTGGGCTGCCTTCGTTTGAGCCTGTGCCTCCTCCTCTTTTCGGGATTGCTCTTCAGCTTCCTTCAGGGCTTTTTGCTGGGCCTGTTTCTGCGCCTGCTCTTCACCTTGACTTTGGGTAGGAGCTGCCGCGGCGGTCCCAGGCACCTGTGCTTCGATGTTTCAGCACAAAAGTTGTAAGGTACGAGGGCCTATATATGCTTCAGACTGGAAAACCCGAAACCGGTTCTGATCGGCATTTTGAGGCTTGCCTCCAGTCCCAAACCCTACACAAGTAAAAAGTAGGTCACACTGTTGATGATAGAAATCCTGCTTTACCATAAGGACCCTAAACTATGGGAATTATGGTATAGTCCTTATTATGGGTAATGCAGGATATAATATACCATCAACCGTACTACCTCGAAATCTGAATCACAACACTACTATGCCCTCAAAGCAACAGGCTATCGAATTCACATGTCCGGCTAGGGGTGTGGGGTGTAGGGGTTTTAAGGTTTGGGGGTTTAGGGCTGGGGGGTTTTGTGTTGAGGGGTTAAGGGTTTGGGGGTTTAGGGTTTGGGGGTTCATGGTTTAGCCGTTCAGGGTTTAAGGGTTTAAGGTTTAGGGGTTAGGATTTAGGGGCTTAGGGTTTAGGGGTTAATGGGGTTGGGCCTCAGTAAGGGTTTGAGGTGAAGATGGGGAAGGGCTTTGGGAAGGGATACATGCAGATGTCATCAGGCCTAAGATAAGGCTGAACTTGTCTCCATAGCTTTACATAGTGCTGTGTTTGGGTTCGTAAGCGTCATGCTTCGACACTTCCTGTAAGTCCTTACAGATGGACTTCGGGAAATTTATCAAGGAGGAACGTGTCGATAACTGAGGCTTCCACTTGATGCTGCAATCCGAACATGTCGAGCGCGATAACACAAATTGGTTACAGCATCTCTAACGACCCCTCTTTGGCACCGCGAACTAAAAGCCACATCCATGCAGAACCCAGACTTCGCTACTTTAGGTCAAAAAACCCTAAACCCAAAGCCCTAAACCCTAAATACAAAACCCAAAACCCAAAACCCCAAACTCTATACTACACCAAAAGCCCCAAACTCTATACTAAACCCTAGACCCTAAACTCTAAACCCTAAACCCTAAATCCTGAACCCTAAACTCTAAACCCTAAACTCTAAACCCTAACACCCTACATAAGCTACTTCAGGTGAACCAGACCCCGGCTTCTGCTCTGCCTCGCCTCGGCCATGGACGCTACAGCCGGTGCTTGCGCGGGGGCCGAAGGGTAGCCTGGCCGGGGTTCACGGTTTAGGGTTTAGGGTTTTAGGTTTAAGGTTTTAGGGTGTTAGGGTTTAG